AATTTTAATAAAACTACTCCTAAGCATATTGGCAAAGCTGGATGCAGAGATGTCACCAAGCCTCGGAGCCTGTAGGCGCAGTAAGGCAGGGGACTGTTTCAGCTTGCGGCTAGCTTCTGGTGAAGGAGCGAGCTTTCGCCTCTGGAGATGAGCACATAAATTGCAGAATCGCATTGTGACATCAGCAAGTACGTCTTGATGATAGGAGACATCTCATTAAACAAATTGAGCTGATAAACACTTTGTCTAGAGGAGAGGAGGAGGAATATGGAGGAAAGTTGGAAATTCAAAGACAAATTCAAAGGTTTGTGGGGACAAAGCTGTGAAAACTCTCTAGTATTTGGGGGCCAGGCAAGAAGAAGAGCCACGAAGGAAAGAGCTCTGAATGTTGCTCATTGAGTAGGTGTCTTCAGAAAGGATTGCAGTTGATCGAAAGGTCCATGAGGTGGATGGACAGGCAGACATACGGATCAGCAAGGAAAGCTTTACGCCAAAAGTCATGGAGCCAAAGGAAGCCAAGAAGTCAAAATGAGAATTGCTGAAAGTCAAGTAGAAGTTTTCCTTTTCTTTACTCTGGTATGTTTAAAATCAGTTAGATGTGTTGGGGGTTTTTGGGGGTTTTTTTTGGTTTTTTTCCACTTACCCAAGAAGGATGTTTTGGGGGGAGCAAAAGGCAATCCAGACAGCTCTGGAACTGTTGAAGTAGAATCGGGTTTTTGGGGGTTTTTTTTGGTTTTTTTCCACTTACCCAAGAAGGATGTTTTGGGGGGAGCAAAAGGCAATCCAGACAGCTCTGGAACTGTTGAAGTAGAATCGGTGGCAAAGATTTTTTTTTGGGTTATTTTGTTTTTTTTCCACTTACAGAACAGAAGAAGAATACAGAGCAGAAGGCAATCCAGCTCTGGAACTGTTGAAGTAGAATCGGTGGCAAAGATGTAACAGATCTTAAGAGAAGATCTGTTACTGACATAGAAAGGAAGGGAAAATAAGAGACAAAATACACATTTACCAAAGGGAAATAACAGCAGAGAATAAATCATTTGATTCCCCCAGCATAGGAACATAGCTACTTAAAAACAACAGAAGTGCAGTAGGCCTAATCTTGACAGTGGCTGCTAAAACACTTGGCATCTTTAGAGAATTACTGGTTAAACTGCAGCAGGTGGGGATGTGTTGCGAGTAGAAAATGGAGATTATTAGTCTGGAAGGTGGTTAGTAATGGGATTTCTCAGAAAGCAGTCTTGGAACTAACGTTAATATTTTTATTTCTGAAAGATGCATGTGGAAGAAGATTTAGTGATACTATTGCAAAAGAAATGTTTCGGTGTCATACATGAGAAAATAAATTACTCCTGCTAGCTGATGAGTGGTCTGGAAGTGCAAGCTACTTCTGACAGACTAATGAACGTTTTGGCATTGTAGATCTTCTATCTAGAAATAGCAGGGAATAAAATAACTGGGAAGTATTAGTTGATCACCAAAGTGAAATCCTCCCAAAATGGAGCATTTGGTGCCCAGAGAGCTGATGGGTTGATCAGGGAAACAACATTTCTCATAAAAGACTGAAAGAGTGGATTTTGTTTGTGTGGAACATGAAGATAGAAAAGCGGACAAGACTGTTGTCTTAAAATGATCTCTGGTAAAACATCGTTGGCCCCAAAGTGAACACATTTAAGTGACGCAAGTAGAAATTGAGCTTGGAGATTACAAGAAGGTTCCTAAATCTCCAAAATGTGAACCTCTGCCACGGCCTTGCAGGTGAGGGGCAGGGGTGTGGTGGTGGTGGTGGGATTTTGGGGTGGTGTTTCTTTTTTGATTGTTTTGAATCAAGTCAAACAATTTATGAAAGGCGTTACAGCTTACCTGCAAAGCTGGTAACTACCTGGTGACCCAGGAAATACTTACGGGTTTGTGTTTGGATGTTTATGCTGACTTCTACACTGTTATAAGTGCGTTTTTGAAGACATCAACAAATCCTACTTTAAGGTTGAAGGGCAGTCTGTAACTAAGAAAACTGAATTTGGGTGAACTGTTAGGAACAGCATAGATAAAATCTTTCAATTTTTGATGTAAATATTTCACATCATTATCGGTATCAATGAGCAAGCTAGTATTTAATGCTGTTTTTCATCTTCATATATTGGGAAAGAACATGTCACTTAACTGTTTACTAATATCATTTTGTATGTGGAATGGGGAAGAAGTAATTTGTTAAAAACCTATAATGCATTATTACCAAAGGTGGGAGTTGGAAGTGAGGGGCTTTCCCCATGTTCCTATCAGTTACTCCATTGTGAAGGAAGTTCCTTGGGGAATCTGTTTGGCAATGACAGTGAGATGCGATCACCAACAAAGGATGGCACAGAATCCTTTTTCTGGGATTTTTATCACACAGTGTGCTTGGATACCAGTAACTTACAGGATCATCTGTAGGGTTATACAACTTGGGCAGAGATTTGGGTGTCTTATCCCCATCCGTTGCTCTCTTGCTGTGGTAGGATACAGCTGTTCATGGCCAAGATGATGTTCAAAACTGAAATGGCTATGAGCTAGTGTTGAGATACCTGGATTTTAAATGGGCTGGTTAAGGTCAAAATAGCAAGTCTTGCCCTGAGTTCTCTACTTGTGGAAAACCAGCATTATAGAATCATAGGCTGGAAAAGACCTCTAAGATTGAGTCCAGCCATCAACCCAACACCACCATTCCTACTAAACCATATCCTGAAGTGCCACATCTACATGTTTTTTTAAACATCTTCAGGGATGGGGACTCAACCACGTCCCTGGGCAGCCTGTTCCAATGCCTGACCACTTTTTCAGTGATTTCTCCTAATATCCAATCTAAACCTCCCCTGATGCAACTTGAGGCCGTTGCCTCTCGTCTTATCGCTAGGTACCTGGCAGAAGAGACCAACGAAGAAGAGACCAATCTAACTGTCTCTTCTGTCACTGGGGTGGCCGTGCCCACAGCTCTGTCATCGTCGCTAATTCGGTGGGATGGCAGAGCCGTCGATGAAAAGAATTTTGATGGCTCGCTGTAGGGTGGGCAGTGAGATGACTCACATATGTTGACGAGGTTCTGGGCCATCATCTTGTATCAAGGTTGCAGCAAAGGACACGTGGACTTTTGGCAAAAGTAGGAAAGACCATCCTATCCCTCTGTAGGGTAGCGCAAGGTTGCAGCAAAGGACACGTGGAGTTTTGGCAAAAGTAGAAAAGACCATCCTATCCCTCTGTAGGGTAGCTAGCAGGGAAGCAGAATGTAACAGCAGTCAGATTAAGCCACCAAAGGGTTTATCTTGACATTAGGAGCCCATTATTTTTAAGTGTTATGAAAACTGACTTTCTTCTTTTTGCAAGAGAGGTTGAGAGAAGACCTCCCAGAGGTCCGTAATTCCAGGGGCAAGAAGAAGAAGACGACTTGAGAATTCACTGAGCTCATGTCAGATATGGGAATAATTTGCCAAGAATTAGATGTAAACGTTGAAGTATTTCATTTTTTTTTTATTTTGGAGGGTTTGTAACGTGGGAACCTCTTGCGGCCTTTTTTCAGATATTATCGGATTTCATATACTTTAATTAGTCTAAGTGCAGTATGCATAAAGACAAGACATTTTTAGGGGTGAACCACTTGCGGGAAGCAAAATCCAGCAAGGATGAGGAAGGAGCTTGCTTCAGTCTCTGGAAATGCTCGATGCTTTCTCTGCTGTCTCTCACAAGAAAAAGCTGCTGAGACTTCTATTTTGACACTTTTTTTTCTTTCCAGATAAAACATGATTTCTCCAGTCGAAAAGACAACCAGGGTGTTTTGACTGCAGCATTGATTGTGTGAAGGATTTGTTATATCAATGCTGCTGGAATAATTTGGGGGACCTTGGGAAATCACTTAATGGAATTTGGTCCGTGTCTGCATAATCTGACTTTTTGCTAGAGTAATTGAAGATGTGGCTTAATAAACTTTTTATAAAGATTCCCAGTTGGTTGCTGCATTTCAGAGGGTTGTGTCTGAGCACAGCAGTAATACATCTCATAATTGTCTTTTTTTCCTCCCCACCTCACTTAAATATTTTCCCTGGGGACGAATCTAATGTACTGTAATGCTAGTACCTTTTACAAAGTGACCCTACTCATCATGATTTGTTCTCTGAAGGTCCCTTGACAATGTATAAATGCACTGAGAATACTTAAGCTTCCTCTCCATCACTCTTTTGAAAAATCTATTTGAAAACCGGCGTTAGATACTGCCATTACTTTTCTGAGTTCTCTCATGCTGACTCTCTGTTCAGTGTCACAACATAGGTGCAACAGATAAGTTTTATTAGCTAAACAGCTTATGTATTTTCATGAAGATTAGATACGGTGTGCTTAGATCAAGTACTATAGTGAAGGTTTCAAATATAGTTATGGTTTGTGACGTATAAATGTTGAGAATTTTCTGGGGCTGGGGTTGCCTGTATTAACTCTCTTGCACAAGTTCAATGGCCATTTTCATCTCATCCTCCCAAATCGCTGGGAAAGGTTTATTATGGTTGTTCGGTCTTTTTGCAGCTCGGTAAATAGATGCAGTATTTAGGTTTATGGTATGTCTAGAGATAGGAAAACATTATCCCGTTGCAGAAGAGACCAGAGCTGTTAGCTGGAAGTGGCTGGCGGAGAGAAGGTTTTTTCTGGAAAAAGACTTCCTTAAAAACAAACCCAATAAACCAACAGCTTCGTGCATATTCTTATTACTTGAAGACTTATTTTCATAAAGCTTATGACCATATCGTACTTTGTATGTTTTAATAGTGTTACTAAGACTTGTTGAACTTTGTATTCTGATTTTGACGCTTTAATCTGAAATAAACTATTGGAATTTTAAGTGAGTATTCATGTTAAGGTGTTTTAAGCCAGTCGTAATTTATTACGGCGATTTGCTTTCAAAGTGATTGTGTTTATGTCCTGTTAAACTGCATTTGGAAAATACACCTTCAGTCTAAATTTCCCTCCACCTTCTGTAGATTGAAACAAGAACAAACGTATGTACATGACGAGTTTGGCAAACTTCTGGAACGCGAAAGGATTTCTTCAAATGAGCATTTGACTCGAGCCATCCTACGAGAGCGAGCTGCAACGGAAGAGGAGCGTCAGAAGGCGCAGCGTTTTGTAAGTTCAGAAACTTTCATAGGAGTCTTGGATTTTTTCAAACAACCGTGTCGTCAGACTTGTTTCAAAGTGTTGGTAGAAGAGGAAACCAGATCTCTCCTTGTTATTTTTTTTTCCCTTTATTGTTAGTTAGTATGTCACTTTATTTCTTTTTTTTTTGTCAAATATCCCTGTCTTGAGAATGCATCATTAGAAAAAGCCTCACCTTGCTGAAGGTTGCAGATGTATTATATCATGTTATGCATGTGGATAATATTAAAGGTCTTTTTTTCAGAGGGTGGCAAAGTAATATGATAGTCTAGGTCTATTTACTAAATTTGATTATTCTGTGTTGAGAAGTCACAGAATACAGGAGAGCTTTTCTAGAAATTAATGACTTCGTATTTAAAGGAAATCTATAATATTTCTGGGCTAGAAATCGGGCTAACAGAATTAAAAAAATGTCGTTTTTGAAGTCCTTTATGTGCTAGAGAGCAACAGCAAATAGTCCAATTTTTGATGCTTGGCTCAAACCTTGGAACCAGCTTAGTGAAAATTTCTGTATCAAAGAATGGTATTTCATTAGAGCTGACGTATAAAAACTTCCTGACAAGGAATTTGTCAAATATGACTGGTTGTTTTCCGCTGAAAACTGACACCATATATTTCAGTCCGTTGTAGATGTTTGGCAGATTTATAACTTCTTACATGTAGTGGTTGCTTGCTGTATTGAGTCTGTATTGACTCTTCTTTGTAACAATAATCGTTGTTCTCTGAGGTATGAATATGCTTTTTTTTTTTTTAAATACTTGAGTCTAAATAGTGAAAAAATTGGTATTTTTGAGGAGAAAAAGTTTAAAGTACTTATGTGAGCTTTGCTATTAAAATAAATGGAATTACTTATTTCAGCATCTCTATAAATATTCATTTGGCCCTCTGTATCTGAAATAAAATAAAATCAAAGTTTTCTAAGGCTTATTGGTTGGTGACATAGTAAACTTCAATAAGCAATAGCCTGATCTGTGCTGTGTAAGTAACAATCTATTGCCTGTGTTATTTTTCCAAATCACGATTTAAACCCAAACAAATTTCACCTAAGTACACCTGAGTAATAGTATGTTTTTCAGACATTTCCCAATGCTTTTCCACCTCTATGGTAATGTTATTGTTGAAGAATAATTGCAGTATGGTAAGCAAACGTTTAATATTTTGTCATTTTAAAATACGGGAACAAAGGAAAATGGAGTGGAGTTGTGACCAAGGTACAGCCTTAGCCTTACGCCATTAACCCTTGGATTCTTAATATTGTGCAGGAGAGATAAGGGTTTAATGGCCTCAACCTAATGAGGAGCTGAAGATTTATAGTGGGGAATATTATTTGCATAATTACCGGGGGGTTTGCAGCTTTCACTTACTGTAGTTAGCACTTGCTTTTGAGAAGCACATGAAGCCTTGCTCATCAGCCAAATGCTGGAGAGATTTCTTATTGCGGGTATCAAACTAGTTTATTTAGCCATTATGTCAATTTTAATTGTGAATTTTTACTTACTCTAGAATATTTAAGTTAGCACTGCTTACGTGAAGCGATCGGGAATTGCTGTTAGCTAATTTTGGACTCTTATAAATGCTTATAAATATCTTCAGGGTGGATGTCAGGAGGATGGGGCCAGACTCTTTGCAGTGGTGCCCAGCGACAGGACAAGGGGCAACGGGCACAAACTGAAGCAGAGGAAGCTCCAGCTGAAGATGAGGAAGAACTTCTTCCCTCTGAGGGTGAGGTGGAGTCTCCTTCTCTGGAGATATTCAAGCCCCACCTGGACAAGGTCCTGTGCAGCCTGCACTGGGTGACCCTGCTTTGGCAGGGGGGTTGGACTGGGTGACCCACAGAGGTCCCTTCCAACCCCGAACATTCTGTGATTTTATGAACCTTATCAGACTGGGGAGTGGTGTTTCAAGGTGCGTGGTCTCGCTGCATATTGAGTTGGAATTAACAACGTGCAAATGGTTCTCATGAGACAAAGGGAACGCCTTGGAATCGTACAGCATGTCCCCGCACGTGGAGGACAGCGTGACCTGCCTTCCCATGGTGACATTCTGGTGGCTGACATTTTATAGCTGGCTACCAAAAACGTGCTTTGGGGAAGCACGGACGTGTCAGGACGTAGATGCTGCACATCAGAAGAGAAATCTGAGCTCTACTAGTGAGTTGTGCATCTCCGTGTAGTTATCTCTAGTTTTGATCATCTTACTGTTCCAATCAGTGAAATTTTAAGCTATCATGAGGTTCTTTGGTGAAAATAGCTGTGCACATTTGCTATTACTACTGCAAATTTGTCGTTTCCACTATGATTTGTTCATTCTTTAAAGTGTACTGTCAGATAACTAAGCAGCCAGTAGGCTTTGCTTAAAATGGGTGTAAATATGAAAACATTGAGCAATTCTCAGCTTCCTTGCGAGTTCTTCTGTAAGTTATCTTCTTTATTTTCCTGTAACTGGTCAGTTTTTTTTTGCTTGGCTTCCTTGCTTATGCTACCTGTTTCTTTGTTTCACGTATCCAAGCTGAATGTATAAAATCTGTAACACGGGGGGATACATCCGTGTGTACCATTTGTCAGGCAGAATGAGTAATTCCTTGTTCTAGTAAACTGCTACAGGAGGTTTATGTTTTATGTAGCCCGTATTTGATCTGGCCTGTCAGATTCCTTTTGGAGAAGAAAGAGGGTTGCTGAATTTTCAGTAGCATTATCTACAAAATTAATTCCTTTGCTGCTGCTAAATTGTGTAAGTAGTGCACAGGAAAAGAAATTATGGTTAGAAAGGAAGAATTTTATTTTTTCTTTATACAGGCTGCTAATTCAGTTTTGATAAGTAGACATAAAATTGTTAAATGGAAGTAATATTTCCCATTCTTAAACAATTTTGACAGCAGCTGCTGCTTATAATTTCAGAGAGAAGAAACTTTTAAGTGTTAACAGCCCAAAAGTTAGCGTTAACTCTGCATACAAACAAAAAAACCACTGATAAAATAAATCTAAAATGAACAGTGAAAAGAGTAAAAGCTTTGCAGGTGCCAGGAACTACAGAAAAACGTCATTTGTCTCTTTAAGCGAAAGTATTCCACTTTTTGGCAAAAGAAACCTAAAAGAAGTCGGCAAAGCTTGGACAGCAAGGTAAGGCAAAGAAGTGTGGCATCCTTAAAAATCACCTGAAATAATTTTGAAGTGAGCAGGATGAGGAGCGTTATGACACTTGGCAGGCTGAACGTTACAAAACCAACCCCCCAAAACCCATAAAGTGTGACAAAAAGGGTTTTAAAAGAAGAGAAAGTTTGTGCTTTACACACGTAAGGTGTAAAAGCTGACACACGCGCGCGTGTATGCGCACTCGCACCCCCTAACCGTGGAACAGGGATCCCACCAGGACTGTGGACCCAGGAGAAGATCGGGGAGTACGAGCAGCGTGCAGAAGAGATGAGGCCAGGCCAGCAAAACACCCTGCATTCAGTTTTTCACCTGTCTCTTCAGAGTGGAGGAACTCCTGAACGTTCCCAGGCCAAAACTTTGCAGAGAACTCTTCAAACAAAGTCTGAGATGTGAAGTTTCGGTAGAAGACTTTAAGGGAAATCGACAGTTTTACCAATAACAGCTCTTCAAGCCTGGATGGTGTTCATAAAAGCTCTGAAAGAAACTTGGCGGTGATAGATGAGCTAATGATAGCTGAACTACTGATGTGCTGTGTAAGCTGTTAGGGAAAGCTCCCTCGGTACAAGTGGACTGGAAGGTGGCTGATGGGATGTCAAGTTCTTCAAAAACAATTTTGGAGGAGATCCAGAAGTTTACAAACCAATAATTCTGAGCTTTGTACCAACCAAGGCAGAAATTACAAATTAGAGTGGAGTTTCCAGACCCTGACCAAAGCCCTAGAAATCCCTCGTGGAGTCGGTGTGAGGATTTTTTCAATGGTTGATGCTTAATTCAGCAGAAATAAATCCAGCTGCTGTTGATTCCTTTCGTTGTGCTTTCAGATGTCATTGACTTTGAGGAGTATTTCAGACATCGCCTGGCTTTCCTTACCTCGCAGTGTTTGGGTCTGGCCTTTAAAATGTGGTGCTGGTGACACTCAACACACCAAAGAGCTGATGAGGTCTTGCTTTCCCCCCCTCCGCCTGGCAAGTGATGTGAACCAGCTTATTTTGAAGGGTCGGATGTACGTCGCTGTTAGGTGTAAGGAGTGCTTCGCTGATGAAGAATTTCTTTACCTCTTTTTCTCCCCGTTTCCATCTCTGCGCTGCGGTTCACCTCCTGTTCTGTTGTGTCAATGCAGATGCTGTGGACTGAAGTAAATGCGTGAAGAGTCCATCCTGGAGGCCTTTTTCAAACGTGGACGTGTCCACAACCTGTTTTATAGCTTGACTACAAAAATGGCTGAATTGAGGAAGCTGCAAACCGTGTATGGAGGGCAAGTTGTTGGGGAAAGAAAACGAAAACTTCTTGAACCGGCTTTGCCACCAGAGAGAGTGGTTTAGTACCTTTATCTTTACTTCCAGTCAGTTTTGAAATGTGATGTTTGCCAAGTATCTCCGAGTGTTTTCACTGAAGCACGAAGTACACTGTGTGCCTGAAGTCATACTGGAGAACTGCCTGTAGCAGTGCAGCTGATAAAAAAAATATTTCTTTCTTCCATACCCTTAGAGTGTATGTGATATTTTTGCTGCCCATCCTTCTTGAAGGAGGACTTCATAATAAATTAAGTCTTTTATTTCAATCTAGCTGTGAAGAATTTTGGTACTGATGTGGTCCTCTGCACCAAAGACCGATGCACTTGAAGGTCCCGTACTTCTGACCGCTCCAAGAATATTTGTATTCTGTTTTACGCCTGCAGGCAGCAGACCTATCCTCATTTGCAGTATTTGTTATTGGAGATCTTTGCTGCCCATCTAAAAATTGTGGATAGTTGAGTTGGGCATAGTCTTTGTTGAGTGGCTTTAAATGTGGTAGCTTTGCCATAAATAGGTTATTGAT